GTGAGTATAACGTTTCGACAACTTTTAATGTATCTGATCTTTCTCTCTTTGATACAGGTTCAGATTCGAGGACGAATCCTTTCGAAGAGGGAGAGGATGATGTGATCCAAGAGCCGCAAGCAACCAAATCAAGTCCAACGTCAAGCTCGGGGAAAGATCCATTGAAAGTTGAAGGTGGACCTATGACACGAGTAAGGACAAAGCGAGTGAAAGAGGCGATGGGATTACTCGTCAAGACAACCATCGATGTTTCATCATGTTCGGGACTCAAAATTGGACAAATTTCATGTTTGGGCCGAAGGCCGAAACCAATTAGATCAACACGATACAAGCAGCCGAAAATGGAGCTGAAGAGAAGAACTATGCGACCGCATGGTTAAAACCGTCATGCGGTCGCACGGAGTGAGACAGGGAATTATTCGGGATTTTCGAATATTCCATGCGGCCGCATGATTTTACACCATGCGACCACACGGTTAAAATTAGACGTGTTTTTTTATTTTTTTCGCGAATTTTCTATGTTTAATAGAATTTGATACTTAGTAGATTTCTTACCATATTTGAAATATTAGGCACGTTTTTACCTAGTTTTTTAGACCTAGTATAAATACTATTTTATTTTCAATTGTAAGAACCTTTTGACATTATTCGTAATTTGAGAGGCTATATTGCTTTCAACTCTTATTCTACAATTGAACAATTCAAGAACTTATCAAGATTTAATCTTGTGGCGTTCAAATCAACCGGGTGAGATTCCGTATTTTTGTGTAATCAAGTCCGCACATCGTCGGCGATTCGAGTTGCTCGGTTCCAGATCTATTGAATTTAATCCAAAACATTGCTTTGGCTTTCTTTGGAAGATTTCAATCTTGTTCGTGGGCTCCGTAACGTTTGCCTACGCGGGTTCACATCACAACATGCATAACAGAAATGCCTTACTCCTGTTTGGTCTTCAACTTCATTTTGGTCCAAGCACGGAGAGACCTTCTGGAGCAATTCTTGCAAACTCAGAACCCCTAAATAACGTGAAAATGCATGGCTATATTGGTGGCCGCTGCCGAGTTGAAGCTATCCACACTAGAAAGAGTGCACTTGATGGAACTCAAACATGTCTCCAACCCAGGTACAAACCGATCAGTCTAGGTATATTATAAAATAATGATATTAATATATATTTTATTAGTAAATAAGAAATAATTGATGATTTATGAAATTGTAGCTGTGTCATTTCTTTTACTTCTGATATGTACTCAGAGAAAAGCAATAAATGCTATATTTGCGCCACCATCCATTGCATTGATAAGTTTTGGATTATGCATAAAAAATAATTACATTTGAGATCATTGAATTTTCACACAACACACAAGATATTTTCGGCATTTAATGTGTTCTATGAGAATTTTGTTTCAAAGATAAAGTTCATAGTTTCACTTTCGATAATGTTAATTTTAATGCATATATTATAAATAAAAATAATTAACTAACTCAATAGGGATTCGATGCAAAACTTTTTCGGTATATTTTTAGTTTGATTGTGCAAAATGACCTTAAGTATATTGCACCGTAGGTCACAAAAAATTGATAGACAATTGCTTTTATTTTTGTCTCCCATGTCGCAAACAAGCATTTGCAAGTATACGCAAATTCAAATTTATCCAACATGATGTTTGTAATTGATATAGGTAATATGTGAAACTCTAATTATTTCATGGTATAATCATATGTTATATGATAAGATTATTACAAATTCATGTAACGGTATGCATCCATATGATTCTGATTATGATTTACACTCTAAAAAGTAAAGACTAATAGGTGCTTTGAGACAATGAAATTTTTGAAAGCTCTCTTCGATGAGACCAATGCGTGCCATGCGTTTACTATCTTACTTCTCACGTTGCTCTAATTCATTTTTTTCAAAATAGTGAACGTTTTTAGTAATTTAGAGATGGTTCAATCTTTTATGACATTATGCTACCATGAAGTTGAGATCTGAACATATATAGAGGACTTACCCATGTTATTGCCTCTAGCTGGCAACAAATGTTAGGTACATACAAATTTTTCCCTTAATCATAAATTTATCTATACTCTCTTTTATAGACATCAGTTTCAACACATTTACTTAAAGAAACAGATTTTTTATCCCTTTCATGCATCTATTATTTAAGCATTGGAACCTTACAGAGGATTTCATTTTGTCTCACATTGTCATTCATGTTAGAGAAGGAAAGTTTATAAATAACATAGTTTTACTTTATTCTTTTAGTATCTCAATTGTTCAACTGTAACTCTTTTAATATATAATGGTTTGTTTTAATAATTTGCTTTATTTTTATATTAATTTAATATTTAAACTATAATGGACTAAGAAAAAAAAATCTTAAATGGAGGAATAAACTAGATAAGTGTCCCCGTTGTCGCTTATACTGTTGAAATCAAGAGATCGACATTATTTGAACTGAGAAAATGAAAAATATAAAATATGGAAAACCAAAATGACATCGAACAAGTTGAAATGTTTGAATACTAACACCCAACTTCTACTCTTTTAGTATAGGTTTTACAAGTTAGTGTTCTCCTTGATCGAATACAATTACATGATACTAGAGTGAATTAAAATAGACCATTTGTATTAATCTTTGAACATGGATGAAGAGTGTTATTATAAATTTGAGAAAAAGTTTCTAAAATTTGCTCTTCATTCAAACATAAAAAAGAAACAATTAATCTGCAAGTACTTTTTTTTTTAACAGAATAACAGCAAATCACAGGAAGAAAACAATTTTTTCTGTACAAATTCTGTAAAAAAATATATATATATACTTATAGCATTATTAAAAAAGAAATGGATAACTTTGACAAAACATAAACCATAATATTATTAATAAACTAAAATCTAGGAGATAAAATGGTTTGGATTTTGAAAATTTGATGGTTGGAAAGAGCAATTCGCATTAAATAGGATTTAAAAAGTCGGAAGTGCTATTTGTAACAGCTCGGGCTACAGCCTCTTTACAAATGGAGGGCTCGTAAATTTTTCATTGCGTGTGAACCCCCTATGAGAGGATTGTACTGTGTGCACAGTACTGCCCTTAAAAAGTTGCCAATTCTAACAAAATATTAAATAAAGGGACCCTACACATGTGATATAGGCGTGGCTTTTGGTAAGCATGAGGAGACATTCTCGTGTCCATTTGTGATCCACTTGCAATATTTAATTACCAATTTCAAGAATGTCCATATAATACAAGAAAAACACTTATTGCCCAATTTTCAGACCCCCCTCCAATAGGGGGGCGCCACTTGGCCCCCCTGTTTTTAGCCCTGGCTTTGAGCCTGGGCGTGCAGCAATGCTCATAATACAAGGACAAAAATGTGTCACTCTCTAAATAATCTAACTTTATTTATTTATTTATTTTAATCATGCTCATGCTCATGCTCATGCTCATGGATGGTTTAAACTCATTTTGAGCAATCTCATTTGGATTTTAAATTATTCTCTGGAGCCTTTGATTTAAAAAATGTGTCACTCGTTGGTAGTTATGTTGTCAATATAATTTTTTTTTTTACTTTTTTAATTGCACAAAATTTTTTAAAACATTTGTTCATTATCATATTTATTCTCTTTCTTATTTACTTCTAATATCTTTAAATTAGAAAAATAAGAATATAATTGTGTAATAAAAATATTTGCTCTCAATTTTAAAGTATGCTAATAAAATATTTGGACAAAATTCAATTAAGAATCGAGTTTTTAGATTAGTGAAATATTAACGATAAGAATGAGATATAAAAATATGGGGGCATTAGTGCGTAATAAACATAAATTAAAATCTTCAGTGTAGTTAAAAAGTGGCACAGCAATATGACCATCCTAATGCATTTGCCAAACATAATACTAATACCTAAATTTTATCCAACTTACATATTAAAAGGTAAATTTATTAATTAAAATTAACTTGGTCAAAAATAAGTAGATTTTAGTTTAAAATAATGTTATAAAAGGTTAAAAATAAAAGTTAATTAAAAATATTCTTTGAACTTAGCCAAACATACTTTTAAATATATTTTAAATGTCTAACCATTTTTTGACACATCTGTCTGTCTTTTTATTTCCCTATTTTTAACCTGGGTAACCAGCTTTATTCTATATTTTTTGTCATTTTTCGTTTGGGGTTAATTATATGAATGATCACTGAACATTGGCTTATGTTACTACTTAGTCACTGAACTTAAAAACATAACTCAATGTCACTGAATTTCGCCAAGTGTTACTACTTCATAACCGAACTTTAAAATGCATCTCAATAGTCACCGAACTTTGCACCGTGTTATCCATCTGTCACTTAAATGAAAAAATCCGTTAAGTCGAACAAATGGCGTCAACGTGAGTAACGGATGGGTAACACGATACAAAGTTCTGTGACCATTGAGTTACATTTTAAAGTTCGATTATGAAGTAGAACACTTGACGAAGTTCAGTGACCATTGAGTTACGTTTTTAAGTTCAGTGATTAAGTAGTAACATATGGCAAAGTTCAGTGACTATTAAGATATATTTTTAAATTGAATTATTAAGCTCTTGTTTGAGTTTCATTCTTTCCCCAAAAAAAAAAAAAAAAAAACATAACTCAATAGTCACTAAACTTCGTCAAGTGTTACTATTTCATAACCGAACTTTAAAATGTATCTCAATGGTCATCGAACTTTGCACCGTGTTACCCATCTGTCACTCAAGTTGACGCCGTTTGTTGGACTTAACGGATTTTTCTATTTGAGTGACGAATGGGTAATACGGTGCAAAGTTCGGTGACCATATATATTTTAAAGTTCGGTTACGAAATAGTAACACTTGACGAAGTTCAATGACCATCGAGTTACACTTTTAAGTTCAGTGACTAAAAGTAATATACGGCAAATTTCAGTGACCGAATATTCATATAATTAACCCTTTCCATTTGTTATTGGATACTTGAAGATCTTCCTTTGGATCCGTTTTATAACTGTAATCCATGCGTGTCCCTTAACGTTCATTAGCCAGTCAAGCACAGTCAAAAAGTAGCTACACACTCCAAAACCTACCGCACAAATCAATCATGCCCACCTCACTGCCACCATCTATCCTCCGCCTCACCGCTACCGCCTCCGCCATTCTCTTCGTCCTCCTCTACGCTTCCACCACGGTCTCCGCCACCGACCACATTGTCGGCGCAAACAGAGGCTGGAACCTCGGTATCAATTACACTCTATGGGCCAATAACCACACCTTCTATGTTGGTGACCTCATATGTATGTACAAATCTTAAACCTTAAAAGCTTTTTTACATTTTGTGAGCGTTTCTTTTCTTTTGTGATTTTTTGTGGGTTTTTTGGTTGTTAGCATTTAGGTACCAGAAGACACAGTACTAAGCCTTGATTTTTTCAATTTTTTTTTTTACAATTTGTGTGATTTTCTTCTTCTTTTTTTGTGGGTTTTTTTGTGCTTAGCATTTAGGTACCAGAAGACACAGTACAACGTATATGAAGTGAACCAAACAGGGTATGATAATTGTACAACAGAAGGTGCAGTGGGGAATTGGTCGAGTGGAAAGGACTTCATTCCTCTCAATAAGGCTAAGAGGTACTACTTTATTTGTGGGACTGGTGGCTGCTTTAGTGGGATGAAGGTTTCTGTTCTTGTTCATCCTCTGCCCTCTCCGCCGCACTCATCTTTGGCCGCCGAGCATTCTTCCGATACGTCGGCCTCCTCCGCCGTGTACGGTGGTGGAGTGGAGGTTATAGGGGCTGTTTTGAGGATGTTTGTGGTGGCAATTTGGTGTGGATCTGGGTGGATCTAGTAGTGGTTTAGCTAGTGGGTTTGGGGAAAGTATCACAGAGTGCCGGTTTGTTTGTTAACTGTAAGGATCTTTTCCTTTTTTTTTTTTATGGCTTGTTCATTTGGATTCTCCCACGGATTTAACAATGAAAGATCCCAGGAGTGAAGCACGACATTTTCAATCGACTTCGAATTCATTTTGTTTGCATAGTGAATTTGATTGATATCTTTACTTTTTTATGCAAAATAAAGAATTTTTTTTAATTAGAAATTCTTAGAACTGTGAAAATAAGCAAGTGCTAAATGTTGAAGAATTGAATTTCACTCAGATCTCAAAGGAAATTCTCCACTTCGATGAGCTTAGGAAGGCAAAAGAAGACCCCAAAGGCAGCAAGATCCCCAAATCCCAGCTCAAATTCCCACCTCTACGCTCAAAATAAGGGACAATTTTTTTTTTTTTTTTTTTTTTTTGATTTTTTTTTTTTTTTTTTTTTGTCGAATTCTACTAAATCTCCAACAGCAAAATTTCGATGTTACTGGCCAAACCCACCTTCAGCGTCCCCCACTGCTCCAAGCTCCAAAACGAGTGAGAGCGATGTTATGTATCAGTAAATACTTACAATTACATGCTAAAACCATAAGACAGATTTGATATTAAGAAAAGGTAAAATATCTTAAAAATTGGATAATTTAAGTTGTTCAAAATAATCGGTCCGATTTTTTCAGATTTATAGACTTATTCAGTTGACGTGGTGAAGCTTATCAAACTTTGGGTTTGGTTGGAGAAGACGAAGCAGCGGGTTCCTCTTTTTAAAAACATAATAATTTACATTTCTTGCTTTTTAAACAATCCATGGTGTGAGCTTTTTAAACAATCAATGGAGTGAGTTCGTAAAACAATTTCGGGGGCTATGGGGAATTTGGTGTTGGTGTTGGTGTTGGTGGTGGTGGTGTGACTGATTTTCAAGCACGAATAGAACGATTTAAAATTGAATAATACTATTTGCAGTCGCCCTACGTGGCATACACATGGCAGGTAATTATTTGATGCATTGAATGAATAAAAAAACTATCACATTAATCCATCAAATAATCACCTGCCATGTGTATGCCAAATAGGACGACTACCCAGTGAGCGATTACGAATAGCATTATTACTCTTTAAAATTATGTAATAGAGAGATGGTCATATCTCTATGATGAATGTTACATCGAGGTTTGGTTTATTTGGATAAGATGTCAGTCTGAGGTGCGGGTTGGGTCTTGAGTAACGGAGGTAATTTCTTTGTTTTTTATATCGTTTTTTCTTCGCCTTCACTCTCTTTAATTTTTTTTTATATTGTTTGATAGAAGTGATTAAAGAGTTTGCTATACGTACGGAAAAAATTTACATACACTTTGATAGAATATCACAGTCATTGGATGTTTGCCCAATAAAATACAATTTTTTGCAGACAATTATCTACTGTCACCGCTGCATTTGTTAACAAGATGGATAAAAAATCCCCCCCCTCCTGAAGTATAACCTAATGGTGCAAAGGATATGAATGAGGTAGTCTCCGCCTTGCTGACAGCCGCAGTGTGAGGGTTCGATTCCTTAGATATAAAATTTGACTCTTTGTGAGCACCAGTGTACGAACAAACTCTTGCTCCCTAACCCTTTGGGGCACATCACACGATTTACGTCCCTCACGCTGCTCCATGGGTGAGGTGATGGGCCCTCAAGATTAGAGTTTAACCTTTTTTTTTAAGATAGATAAAAAATTATGTACAAGTAGATAAATCAAATTATTAATGGGATTGATGGATTGTAATGATGGGGTAGTGGTGGTGAAGATGACTAGTTGTTGGGTTGTGGGGTGGGGACGTAGTGGTTCGAGTTGAGATTTGGGAATTTTTGGCAAGATGATTTATTTGTATTTTTTGAAAAGATTTGAAATTTTTGTTGCAATTTTTCCTTTTATTTTTCATTAAATTTTTTTTTTCTTCTTTTTTTTTTTTTATTTATTTATTTAAAAGAGGATGACAAATTCATCATTTTAGTGGATTTGAAGGCATAATTATTAAAATCGAACTTGTCGGTCCGGATCAAGAACCATCAAGCTGGATAGTGGTCCGATCCAGATGGTATCTTTACCTTCCACATAGTAGCATATATATAAATAGATTTCTTGGCTGCAAATTTAAGGTTTTCATGCCATAAACGAGATATTATTTTTACCTTCCATATAGTAGCATATACAAAAATATATATTTGCCATCTTGGATTGGTTAGATTGGTAAAATAATTAAAACGAAAAAATATATATATTATTTTTAATAATCAAAATTTTCCATAATTTAATTATTGATCATATCAAACATATTCTACATTATTTTAATAGTGTAAAACTGACATATTTTAGGTAAGATTTAATCCAATCTTAGTTATTAATTTTAAGGAAAGATTGATTTTATATTGAACTTTTCTAAAGTCTATTAATTACCATATCAAATAAATCATATGCAATATCATTATATACTTTCCATATTTTAATGTCTTTATTTTAGGTAAGAGACATCCGTATTTTGGAGGAGTCTTATATACTGGTGAACCTGTAGCAGCAAGTTATGTCTTCTGATAATCTCTAGTGAATTCTGCCCGACTGATGTTTCATTGAAGTATCTCGACGCAAAAACTGTGTTCTTCAACTGTAATTGAAAAAAAACACACCTAAGGATGAATGACATAATTCTACTCAAAGATTAGATTACTTGGTGTGAGTTGAGATTAGTGAATCTTAATCCAAGTAATGGTTGTGGCCAAATAGAATAGTGAAGCGACTTATAAATTAAGATTGGAAGATTTGATTCCACTTTTCCAACAAGTCAAAAGAAGAAAGAAAACGAAGGAGTTGTTCTTTATTTGCTTTAAAAAATTTTGTTAATTTTGCAAAATTACAAAATCGAAATTGTTGTATTTTGATTATTTGATAGTGAATCGTGGTATGGGGTTGTGAATGTTTTTCTTAGGGGTTTACCACGTTATATCTGATGTTCAATCCTATTTATTTTCGCCATTGATTACATCTTGCAAAACACTAGTATGTTAAGTTGTGCCAGTCAAAACAGTGACTTACGAAATCAGCCTGAAATCAATAATTAAGACAAATTATTAAATCAACTAGGTTTTGGTATTTATACGGTCTAACAATGACCCATCAATTGAACCACTAATTCGATGACCCAATAATTTTCTAAGGTCAATTATTAGGTCGAGTCTAATAATTAGTTTGAAGGTAAAAATGGATAGAAAGATGTGTTTTTTAATAGTCAAAGGTTGAAGATGCCTGATGCTAAAGAGGTTGAGGATAGATTAAAAATATATTGCAAAAGTTAAGGACGGAACATGCAAATTTTCCATATGAATTATATAGAAAGGTCGTAAAATTGTTGTGTATTGCACCTCACTTAGTGCTATTTGTATCAATTTCCCTTCACCTGAGGAGCAAGCCCTGTATATTTACATTTGAGGTCCTATGTGAGTTTTAAATGGACCCCAAGTCTCAAGCCCATTGAGGACTTCTTATTGAGGTTTCTTATCAAATATAATTTATTTTCATGGAATCAATTTTGACAAATATGATGCCAAACTAGCAAATGTCAATTTAGCTATTGATAAACTCAAACGAGACTGCTGAATGAATTTAAAACTATGGAAATTATAGAATTCCAGATATTTGGAGATCACAGTGCAAAAGTCAGACTCCAAAGTTGTTTATACAAATCTCAGGTTTTAATTTAATTATTATAAATTTAAATATTAAATTATAATTTAATTTTTAAACGATATGTATTGCAACTGTCGTGTTTCTATCGCAATTCGAATTTTAATTATGATAACTTCTATAATAAACCATTTCATTTATCTCCCATTCCCACTCTCTCTCCCAATCTCCCAATCCTCTACATGGTTCCTCCCAAGTGCCGAAATTTCCCCATTTCATCCATCTCCCACTCTCTCCCCCAATCTCTCAATCCTCTACACCGTTTGTTCATTTCACTTTCGCCAAGTTAGAATACAAGCCACGTTGGCTACATCAAGTATTGCATAATACAGTCTACCGTTTTCGCCCTAATTTTCGTGACATCTGAAATGGAGAAGTCGAAGGCTGCGAAGTTGATTATCAATGTTGAAGATACTTCCAAACGTAGAAGCAAGAGGAAATCCGATTTTAGCCCCAAAAAAACACCACCTAATAAGCAACTACCGTCTCAGACTGTGAAGAAATTGCGCTCGAAAAAGGTAATATCATTTTAGATATTGGTTGTTATGATTTTATTAGCAAACATGTTGATGGAATTCATGGATTAGAAGCATTGAAGTCTTATGTAATTTTTGCGACGTTTAATTGACTGTAATCATTGGCTTAGGGTTCTTGGTACCAATATTGGGTGTGACCTAGATTTCTCCGGAAATGTGGCTTAATTACATAACAAAAAGTATGCATGTGACCTCGCTATTATCAATATGTGACCAAGATGTCAATATGTGACCGAGGGAGTTATGAATGTGTGGCTTTAATGATTGTTGCATGTGGCTTGATTGTTGAAGTTGTTGATATATATATATGTGTGTGTGTGTGTGTGTGTGTGTATGTGTGTGTGTGTGTGTGTGTGTGTGACCTTATTCATTATGAACAACGATGCCTACATTAACCAAGATGTCAAACTGTGACTGTGGCTTATATGGTGTGTACCTTGAATGCACAACATAATGTATGCCTGTTAATGGTTTGTAACATGATTTGAGAATAGTTATGTGGCTTATTGCATAACAATACATACCTATGTGACCTCATTCAGTTGAATATAGAACATGATACTTATGGCATGTGACCATGATATTGTTCTGTGACCAAGTTTTGTTGTGAATATGAGGCCTGGATTCATAGCATTACACATGCTTGTGACCATATTATTTCTGGTTATACAACAATGTGAATGTATATGTAGCCTGAGTGCACAGTTGCATACATTTAACTGTGTGTGATTTCCCTACATTTACTAAACATTGGGTCTTTCTAAACAATTTTGTGCAGGATTGGCGATTCATCATACTGAAGGAACGATGGTTCCCAAGCAAGATTACAACTTCGGACAGCAAGGGTATTCTTTCAAGTATTCAAGCAAAATTATCTGACCGACAAAAGCTCATTATGAGGGGAA